CCAACTGAAATAACAGTGGGGGAAGGGGCTGGCAGGATTGGGGGGTTGTTCTTTGCAGGGTAGGGGAGGGTCAGAGGGCTAAAAATAACCTGTGTTCCCAGGAGATGGAGAAAAAGCCTCCCATCCACCCCAGCCCCTCTGCAAACATTGTGAGCCCCTCCACTATTCTGCCAACCCCCACCCCAACTCTGCTTGCCCCCCTGATCCTCCAAAGTCCCCCACCCCGCTAGCCCTCCCCATCCTAACTGACTATAAATCAGGTGGCCATTTTTAACTCAATCTAACCTCCCCAAATGTCTATATGTACCCTTTGGGTTGTCAAGTATAAATATAAAATTATTACACATTGATTGTAGCTTCCTGAATTTAGCTGAAGCATATGTCTGGGAATGTGTCAGGAGTGGGAGCCTTAGACAGAAGTGAATAGTATATGGTGAATTCAATAACAAATAAGAAATATGCTCTCTCTAAAATAAACTCATTTGTCATGTAGTACTACAAGAAAAAAAACAGACTACATTCACAAATAAGTATGAAATATTTTGTGTACTATCCTTCTAATAAGAAAGCAGCCAGTAACAACATTGTCTAATGTCCTTTCATTAAAGATTTCCAACTCTTGTTCTAAATGTATTTGTAATATTCCAAAAGTGTCCATATAATGCAAAAAACATGCACACCATTCAAGTAATAACTAGGGCTGTGTGAAGCTTCAGGTGCTGTTTCGATTTGGAGGAGATTCAGCCTGATTCGGCGGCTGAATCTCCAAATTCAAATTGAATCAGGAGACCAATAAAAGGTCTGAACCAATTCAAAGCCTCTGAATCAACCTGGAAAAAGATACGAAGGAGATTCGGGCAATCCCCACTCGCCACAGCAGGGAGCTGGACCTGAATTATGTGCTGGTAAGTGGGGAGGGGGGGGGTGGAGGCAGGGGGAGAGGACCATTGGGGAACCCCTGCCAGGCCTCATCCCTTGCCTGCTCCCCCAGTCCCTCCGAGCACCCCCAACCCTGCCCGCTCTCCCAGCCCTGTCAATGGCTGCCCTGCCCAGCCCCAGCATCCTGGCTCTTTAAAAAAAATAAAAAGCCCCACACACACCGGCTCTTGCCAGGGGGTGGGAGGAGATCCCTGCTGCCCCCCACTGCTCTGTATTGCACGGGGGGCTCTGCCACAAGCCCCCATCCTCTGCTCGCTCTCCCAGCCCTGTCAATGGCAACCCCACCCGGCCCCAGTGTCCTGGCTCTTTAAAAAAAAAAAAAAGGCCCTGCACTTGCCAGCATTGCAGCAGCTTTCAGGTCTTCTGGGGGCTGGTGGCAGAGCACCCCCATGCAGTGTGGGGCAGTGGGGATTGCCCTTCTTCCTGGCAGCAGCTGGTGAGGGTGGGGCTTTTTTTTTTTTTTTTTAAGAGACAGGATGCTGGGGCTGCGTGGGGTAGCCATTGATGGGGCTGGTAGAGTGGGTGGGGAATGGGGCCTGTTTGATTTGGCAATTCGGCCTATTTGGCGGCGGCCAAATCGCCGCATCAGATTTGGCCGAATTGATTTGGGACAGCGAGTCGAATCACCGAATGGAATCACTGTCCCCCAAATCAGCTGAATCCAAATCTGAAGTGAATACTAGCCACTTTGCACAGGCCTAGTAATAACATGTAAGTACTAATATGATTTATTTATGGAATTGAGCTAACCTCTTAGCAAGAAAACTGTGCACGTTTCCTCCATTTCCACATGATCCTTCCTTTTGGAGGAATAGTGAGGTTCTGTAACAGGTTACCAGTGTATGTGTGGTGGGGGTGATTGACAACTAGTTTTAATTCTTTGTGGGAGGTGACATGCCATGGTTACCTGCAGTAACAGGAGAGGGGAGACAATGACCTAGCAGAGGAAGAGGAGCACAGGATTAGAAATTATTTTCCCAGTTAAATATTCCAGGATCCCATGTGTATGGTTGCTTCTTTTTTTTAATTTTTTTTTGGGGGGGGGGGGGGTTAGTACATGCATGTTTTGATTTAGTATTTAAAACTGATGAAATAATTGAAAAGAACAATTTCCTTTATAATAATCCAAACACATACACACACTATATTATTATGTGTGTTTCCAGTAATAGTGCCATTTCTTCGACAAACCTAAAAACAAAAAAACGTAGTTCTAGTGCACATACTTTAAAAAGGGATTTCTATAGCTCAATAAGTACTGTGGTGTGTGAAGTGTGTACAGGAAGCCCTATATACTACTTCCTAATTGATATCAGATCCCGTTTACCTAAAAGTTTTTGGAATTGTCAATGACTAAAGAACAAGGCAGACTGAATATTTTGCCATGCCTAATTTGGTGGGGGAGAATTAAAATAGAGTTGCTTCATTTTTTTTTAAGTTTTAAATTTCAAATAATTTTGTTTTACAATGTAAACCTGCTTTTCAATTTTAAATTAGCAATCTATAAACCACTAACCTTTAATTTTATTTATCCATTTCAAGATTATTCATTTAATTTAAATAGTACATATTTCTGCTAAAGCATTATATAAAAATCAAATCACTAAATTAGAGAAGGTTGTGGATAATAAGCTCAAGGGAACCAGAGTTTGAAGTGTTAAGTCAGCTTTTAACAGCTTTCAGAAGGAGAAAAAATATTTTCTACATTTCAGTTTATAAAACAAGTTCAGCTAATGATTAATTCACTAATATATTAGAAGGGAAGTGGAAATTGACAGCAAAAGGAAAAAAAGTAGTAAAGCTTGGTTTCATTTTATAAATAAAGACCTAGCAGTGAGATGCTAAGATGTACTAGTTCTAAAAGCCTGAAGGCCAAGGTAACCAAAAACAATTAGTTCAAATAAGTATAGACAATGCTGTTTTTGTCTTTAATAATCCTATTGGTTTAACTAGCAAACTGATTCTAATAATCATTTTCCTTTTTGATATATTTAATAAGACAAACAGAATTATTTTCTTTTTTCACTGAATTCCAATTTCCAAACTGCAGTTGATACATATCACAAGGGGAAAAGACTTGTAAATAAGAAACTTCACTCACCATAAACAAATGTGAAGATACAGAACATAAGTGTATATAACGTATCCTCCTGCTTATCAGAAAGTAATGCTTAATTGCTAATTCAATAATTATTGTAATTAATCAATGAGAACCAGGCTCTTTTTTAAAAAGGTACAAATGTAAAACATGAAAATGTAAAGACGATAATTTAATTCAAGATTTCTCAATTGCTAGACTCATAATTAAAATTGGTCATTTAAATCAGTCTCTGCCAAATAAAATCTGTACTTGTCTTTATTTGATGACTATTACATTGGATCAGTAGACTTATGCTATGGTGGGAAGAAGTTATTACTATTACTAACTAATGCATTAAAGAAGTTGCCTGGTGGAAAAAAGGTGATTTCCCTGTTGATGACATCTGGAACAATGTGTTTAGTGTGTTATAATGAAGAACACATTACTGATAATGCAGAATAACAGAAATTTTAACAAGTACAACAATGTTACTTTCTTACTTAATTTAACAAATGTAAAGGTCCTTTTTAGAATTAAACCTACATTTGTTTGTTTTTTTAAAAACAATTTAGGAAACCAGTTCTTTAAACTAAGCCAAACACCCAGATCTGAAGAAACAAGTGCACTGGCACAGCCATGCATGTTGAATCAAGATATTGTGCCTATCATCAGCAATCAACCTTTCCTGGTGTGAGCCCATTTTTATCATAAGAAATAGTTCTGTAAGCTTGTTTTCGATCTACCCATAAAACAATGGTTTCAACTCCCTACAGGCTGTGACAGTCAAGCTGAGACCAATGGACCACACCATACTGTATTAATATTAACACAGAGGAATGATCCTGGTGTTTCCACAGCTGTACACACAAACCAAATGATGCAACTGGCCAATCACAACACAGGCATCCCTTACAGTTGTTACATGAGAAGACAACATTGAAGAGCTTTCACCAGGTCTTTTTAATGTAGGAATGTCCAGGCTTATTACTGGGAAAACGGTAATAATGACTGAAATGTCAAATACAAACCCTGGGACTTCCTAATGTCACGCAGACCAGATTTTTTTTCTTCTTTTTCTTGAAACTTGACAAACTTGAGTGTGTTGCTGTGAGTTTACTTAAATAGGTGAGGTCTTGAAGGAATCAAATACAAAGTAACTAATCTGGGGTAGTGTGTGTGTGTGTGTGTGTGTGTGTGTGTGTGTGTG